GCCTTTAAATGCAACATTGCCCAAGAACGAATACGCGGGCCAAACTACCCTTATAAATGAAGGTTAGGAGTGAAATAGTTGACGATAAGAATAAGAAAGATGAAAAAAAAAACGATCGAACGAGAAACTTAGAACAGTGGACTCCGCTCCCCTGTCAGGGTGAAAATCGTGTCGAGTACGTGGTCGCAGAAGTACGACCCCCCCCCCGAAATCGAGATCCTGGCACGACCCCCTAAAACAGAGCAAATTAATTCAATTAATTAATCAAAATCAAAAAAATCCTGCAAAATAAATAAAAAAAAATCCTGCAAATTAAATCAAAAAAAGTCCTGCAAAATAATGTTATGGACGCTCATCTTGTCATCTATGCACTGTCTTTCATCGCTGCACACTTTTGTGTATTTACTGAAATATCGACTCGAGGAAAGAGGCATTAACTTTGTGTGACCTCAAAGTCAGGTTCGTTCAGAAATGCACAGAAATCCTGAAGACACGGGGTTGCGATTCAATCTTGATTCTTGCTTGAGTATATCAAAACAGCCGAGTGTATCAAAGGCCGATTCAACGGCAGCTGCGGCGCGATTGTCACTGGGGTCAGATTTGCTGAAAATCCCGAAAAAAACCGTCGAAATCTACACCCTCGATGAAAAGGTTGCATTCCTCCATTTCATAACCTTTGAAGCAGTTTGAGTAGGGTTAGATAGAGCTGGATTTCGCGTTTCCAAGAAGTATTGAAATTGCTCTGAAAGCCTTCCATGCAGAAAGATAGGGTCTCTCAAATTTCGTCGAGTAAACGTCGAGGACGCTGAAATTTTCGCGTGAGTTTTTGCCACTTCAAAAGCAATATCTCGCTAATGCCGCAAGGTCCTGAAAAAGGGAACAGTTTTGGAAAGCGGAAGGTTTGCGCTTTCTGATGGTCTTCTTAGCTTTCTTCTACATTTCCTAGTTGAGAAGATATCTGCGTCGAGTATGTATCGAGGACGGATCCGGCCACCTGAAAATCCGCTCCCTCCTTCACCATTGCAAGTGTGATTCGTTGGCAACACTCGGAATGTGTCTAGAACAAAATCTTTCAACGCAAGCAATAGAATAGGGGCAATCGTCATCATCCGATTTCGTATTGGTGTAAGCCATGCATCCGTGCTCACTCACAGTTGCAGAATCGATTCGAAGGTGTCATATGATCATGACCAGTTGACAGAAGCTGCATTGTAGTAAACGCATTTCGTAACTCCTACAACCTAAAGAACAACTTCATTTGCCCAGGGCTTTTCCTTCACGGTTGTCGTTTTTGCGACAGGGTCCCTAACAACAGTGTCATTCTCAGCGAGGTATTAAGGGAGAAGGAGCGAGCGATAGGCAGAGGAGGTGAAAATGCAGCGCGCACACCCCCCCCCACCCAACCCCCGCCGCGCGACGCGTTCGCGTGTTGTGACGTCAAAATGCAGCAGCACGCCAAGCTGCGACAATTCGAAGAAAGGACGAGCAGGTTAGACGCCACGCACTTTGTTGAACGAGCTTGGGCTTCCCACTATACCAACTTGTTCAATCAGTTGTGCCGCAAGAGAATTGATTTTGTTATGTTCAGGTACCATCCTTGTCTTAGTTGAAATTTCTTGGGCTTTCATGTGGAAACCCTTAGGAGTACTTTTCAGTAATTTGAGCTGAAAGTTTTCATGTTCGATTCCAACTTACTTCTACTCATCACACAGTGTAGTAAGAGTACGACAGATGCTCGGAGTACTTAACTTATGAAGTAATGGTGGAAAAGCTGGCCTTTGCTCGCTCTGCTCTCATGCACGCAAAACGCGTTGCGCGCCGCCTGGTGACCTTTCCAGGAGCGAGCGATAGGCAGAGGAGGTGCCTTTGCAGCGCGTGCGCACATGTGGCAGTCTTCTTTGCGGGGATGCACTTTCATTCTTTGTACTGCCTTCAAATACGCCCTTCTCATGAAGGTGGAGGAATGGAGCGACTGAACCTGCAAAGAAAATTTAATATCATGTTTTTTTCATGTTTTCATTTTCTGCTGCGCTATACCTCTTACCTATCTGCACCACGATACCACTGCTGTTACTGACCCCCAAGAGTACGACCCCCCATGACCCAGCCCGACAGGTACGACCCCCCTGTCGAGGATTTCCTCGACCGATATTCACCCTGCCCGCAACATATAACTAGTTGTCGAGAATTTAGTGGTTGTACAGTATGAAGTTGTCTTGTGAAACTTATTTTGGTGTAAAGTTTCGAACTAAATATCATCGTCGATGGACAACTTCGTTGCTGCATCAGAGCCACTATCTGGTCTCTGAAACAATGAGCGCTTGCACTTACTCTGAGTACGACTACTAGTAGGCATGCATGCACATCGATTGCTTGAAGGACCGAGCTGAAATAGTCCCTGTGGTCCCAAAACGGCCCTGCAAATTCCTCCTCAGCCAATCACGGCTGGCAAGTGGGCGTTCCCGAAAGGATTTCCAACCACACCCATTTTAAGGAGTTTTACGCCCTTTTTGCGGCTTTCCGAGGTGAGTTCTGTTTACAGTTACACTTCATATGTTTTCCACTAGGCCTAATGCATCCCAATAGTTCAGTTGCTTTAATACAGGCTTTCATATGGAGAGCGAAGGCGTCTACGATGGCATGCAGGTGAGACACGTCGAAATGATTCCAAGTTTTTTGTTGTGTCATCTTCAGGGAACCAAGCTTTTCTGTGGTTTGCTCTTGTCTTGAGGCTGATCATGCAGAAAATCCGGCTAGGTTTGATAGGGGATGGTTGAGTAACAATTGTTAAAAGATTATGAACATGAAAAACTTTTTTGCAGAATATTTGGCCTATGGCTAGGTGACTTGCCTGCACAAACTACTGAAGGAATATCCTCGAGTGGCTCCCTGTCTGTGACAGACATTAGATCTAACGAGCGTCTAAATAGCCTCTTTCATCAATTCTTTCGATTTGGTGGCACGAAGATCAAGCTTCCATATTTGAAATCTGTCTTGGTGGCGACTGTAAGGATAAAGGATAAAGCATTTGCCGTTGATCAATCCCTTTTTGGGATGCGGCACGCATTCTACTTCCATTTGTACATTCGTAGTGGCGTTTGAATGCGATGTGGCCTATACAATGACTTGCGGGGGCCAGCCGATGTACAAGTCAGTGTTTTTATCCTCCAGACAAGTCTGGTACCAATTAACCGACCCCGGAGGGATGGAAGGCTTGGTTGGCCCGGGCGACTCACGACCCAGGATTTGATCCCCGGACCGCTCGAAGGAGGATCAGCGGTCCGTCGCTTATAGATCAACGAGGAGGGTCGTACTTAGCTAACAGAAGAGCGAGGGGGTGTAAGTCCACGAACCAGTCACAGAATTCAAGGCGCCAAGGCATAGCAAAGGAATACATACTTTCAAACACCACTGCAACCACGGACGAATGCATTGCGCATCTCAGATCAGGACTTCTTACTAAAACACGCCTTACCCTAGTGAGCACGAACAGATTCTTCGAGAGCAATCCCGACGTTTTGTACCAATTCAGTGTGAAAGGAAGTGCAACGAATTCGGCGCATTGACATTCATATAGAGACCTTATTCCTGGCAGGAGGAAGGATTTTGTTTCAAATTTTGTCAGGAGACCAGCACAGGTCGAAACGCACTGATCGTGCAGATTTTGGTAGTTTTTACCGCTTCTCATTCCAGTATGAAGAAACTCATATCGTTTCAAAGTTGAAATTTTGCGTTCCGCTTCCCAAAAAAGCCACAGAGGAAAAAATGGAACGACTGAACCACATTCCGAACGAGTGAGCTTCCAAAAATTTTAAGATTGGCCTGAAACCAGTTGATCATGAAGGAAGTTGTAGACGTTTGGATTTTTTTAGTTTTGTTTAGTTAGCTTGCTGAAATAAAATGGGTTTCCTATCGAGACAGCTCCCTATTGCCGCCACCTCCAGGAAAAAAAAGCGTTATGACCTGACCATTTCAAGATTAACTGAGTTGTGCCTCTGCAAAGCTTGCATGTCCTATAATCCAGATTCCATTGAAGAATTTCACTGACAATTTTGATTTAGTTCACGGTGCAGGGTTCGACTTGGGTGTTCAAAAAAGTAAGATTATATCAATTCAGTTCAACAAAAAGCAACGCCATCGTTGGAGTATACAAGTACTAAATAAATTACTGACCTTTTGAATCTGAGATGCGCTGAATTCGCCTTGGATTGTAAAGTTTCCAAGGTTCTGACGAGCTACATACTTCTTAAAAAAACGTATTTCTCATTGGGAAATGAGAAAAAAGAAAATTACGAATCTCGATTTTGGGAAGTGGTTATTTACGCTTGATTTTGTGCATAATGAAAAGGATAAAGCATTTGCCGTTGATCAATCCCTTTTTGGGATGCGGCACGCATTCTACTTCCATTTGTACATTCGTAGTGGCGTTTGAATGCGATGTGGCCTATACAATGACTTGCGGGGCCACTTCGTATATGTACATTATACGAAGTTATACGCGGGCTAAGTAGCAAGAGAAAAAGCGCAGTTAGGCGATTAGCGGTTGATATACTATCATTAACGAATATCGATCTTGTATGCTCCGCCCTGAGAGACCCGGGTTTTGTTTAAAGGCGAGGGCGTTGTAGGCGAGTAGGCGATTAGGCGAGTAGGCGATTAGGCTATTAATCATCATCTACGATTGTGGAGCGGTAGAATCTTCGGTGACTTTTTTGTTGAGAACCTCCATACTTTACTTTTATTTGTTTCATAATCGTCTCTTAAAGTATCTATATGGTTCTAGTAAGGATTTCTATAGGAGACAAAACATATGACAGATAAACATAACAATAACCTAAAAAGGACCATTAAAACACACAAACATTCGTACACAGTAATAGGAAGTAAAAAACAATAATGAAGATTTCGAATCTGCCGTAGTTTTCACATAAGAGACCGAAGTATTTGATCCACTCTGAAAAAGAAGACTGGTCATCGGACGTGAGGCGTTCATCTTTCAGTTTCAAATGACTGATCGTCAACCGATGGACCTGCTGGAGGCCGTAGAGGCATTGCAAGAATTACACGAGCGCTACCGTGAGGTCGCGCATCGCAGGGAGTACGTGCGAATGGAGCACGTACCATTCCTGGATGCGCGGCTCCGAACGTTTGATGAGTACTTGGCCGTGTCTACGCCTACCAACTTCACACACTATACGAGACTTCAGCCTGCAGAATTTGAGAGAGTATTTGCACGAATAGCCGGTGAT